GCCTTGTGCTGCGCCATGAACCCCACAGGGCTTAGCAGGAAAATCAGCAGCATCATCTCAGAGGCCGCGAGGAACCACATGAGTCGTCGCTGCTGCGCCACAAACGCCGGGTGCCGCAGTCGCCAGACGCGGTAGATGCGGCGGTAATGCCACGATACGATGACTCCGGCCCCTCCGACGCACGCGGCGGCCGCCAGCGCGCACACCCCCGTGTGGCCGTAACGTGTCGTTTGCTGCGCCACAGTACGGCGACGGCGGCGGGCTCGCAGCTGTTGTGCAGAAGCTGCGTGTCCACGACACGCGCGTCTCACGCGAACGCGGCAGCGGTATTCGTGGGCATGCCGTCTGCTGTCATAAGACACCACCCACACACTACGGGAAGGGGAGGCGATACACAGCGAGAGCAGGAGAGACATGCAGCCGCGTGTAGACATGTTTACAGAGACACAGAGAAGGCTACAGGCAAAATAATCCACATATTCTTCACCTCCTTTCCATTCCTCGCATAAATCCCGCTCACTTTTGCGCTGGTTCTTTTTTTTTTTGTTTGTTTGTCTTTTTTCGTCTTTCTTTCTTTTTAGATTTATTTTCATCTGCTCTGAAAATACTTCATTTTGTTGTTTCTTTTGCTTCCGGTTGGGTACTTTTGTGCACGTGCGTCCGTGCTTTCAGAGCCTCGTTGTTCACATCACCTGCAACAAATACGGCCGCCGCCGCCCCCACCGCGGCATACACACACACGCACACGGAACCACCCGAGCTGGCAGCGATGCAACGAAGATTTCATGACGGTGTCATCACAGCAAAAGCAACGACAAAAACAAAAACATAAAGAAGGACTGAGACTACACAAACACCCATAAAAAAGAAGAAAAACAAATGTAACTCCAAATATAAACTTTTCAATGCTTCTGCACCCGCGCCCTTGTCTCTCCCTTGGAGCAAAAATAAACACATCACCAGCGCATCAGGTAAGAAAGGGTGTAGTATCAAGGGGAGTGAGTCACATGAGCGAAGGCTGCCTGCGTAACCGCGTTCTCTACAGTTATTATCATGATGTACTCGTGCGCCTTCATAGTTGTCCCTCGACAATTGTAACGCCGAGGCCACCACCACACACAACAGCGTGGACACAGGCCTTCTACACAACATTTATGCCCAACACCTTGCGTAGCTCCGTTGCAAGCGGCAGCCGTAAAATACTGTGGTGGTAGCGAACCACATGCGGGCAATGTTGCTTCAGTGCCGTCCCCACCTGCCTCAGCGACAGGACTTGGTTTACGGCAAGTGCGAGGACGAGGTCCGCCGCGGTCAAAGAGTCACCGACGAGAAAAATCATGTCGCTGGGCGGACTGGCGCTCCGTCGCGGGGAGTAGGAGGGAGGGCGTGGGGGATGCCCCGAGGACCGTGGTGAGGGCGCCCCCGTGCCAGCCTCTTGCAGGACGCCCTCGCTGGAATTCGCGCTGTTGCTCACCTCGGGCTCCTCCACGTGGGTCTTAATGTTGTAGGTGTGGTACCCACGCAGCATGGCGCTTTCCCGCGGCGTGGCGGCAATTAAATACTCGTCCTCTGAAAGCTCTTCATCCACCTCCTCCTGTGTTCCCGTGCGGGCACTGAGGGGGTTGTTGCTAGCCCCGCCCCCGCCCATCGCCAGCTTGCGAAGCTGCTTCTTGAACACAAGCCGCTGCTCAAGGCCGTTTAGCCCCTCACGCAAGGCATCCACCAGCGGCTGACGCGCCATTGCTCCAACCCCCTCCTCTTCTTTTGAGTTTCTCATCTTCTTCCTCTCCTCTCGTTCTGCTGCGAGAAGTGGGAAGAAGTATGGATCGACTTCGGTCAGGACAAAGTCCAGCCACGCATCCACCTCCGCCGCCTCCCGGAGGCTCTTTCCATAGAGAATGTACGGCACGACGTGCTGTGGCGAGGGGTGCCGCTCGCCCCCGTCCACCCCGTACGGGCGTTCTGTGCGTGCAAGATGACGTATGATGGCGTTTGTCTCGAAGAGGTACCCCTCGTCGGACTTCAGCACCGGCACCCGGCCGAGCGGGTGACAGTTGCGGCGGTAGCTTTCCCTAGTCTTTTCGCTGTTGAGTGTCACGGGGACCACCTTGAGCTGCGTTCCGGCGTACGTGGCAACAAGCAGCACACGCTGCACCTCGGGGTTGTCAAGCGGGCCAATCAAACTCAGCACCATGGCTGTCCAAGACGGTGCTGCCTGCCCCTTTCCGTTTTTCCCTCCGTTGATACAAACCAGCAATGACGCTGTGTAACCCCACCCCTCAAAAACAAGAAAGAAAAAAAAACAACAAAAAAGAAAAAATAAAAAATAATAATAAACAGATGCCCTTCGTTTTTTTTTTTTTCACCCCTTCCGTGTTTCCTCGATGGCTTCTAGTAGTTCTTTACGGTGGCTGCGTATGCGTCCGCTGACTCCTGACCTCTCACCTGACCGCAAAACAAGAAACAAAAAAAGAAAAACGGGCAAGAGCAGCAACGACAACAGAATAGCATCATCAGCAGTGGAGAGGTTCCTTGGGGAGAGGGGGGTAAGTAACGGATGCAAAGGGACAGCGGCAGGGAGACACAACGGGGGTGGGGGAGATACGGTGAGGAAGATGCCTACATCCAGAAGGAATGCCAAACATTCGTGTGCCAATTCCCTGCACCTTCTGTTTGGTGGCTCTTTTCTGTTTGATTGTTTTTTTTTCTTGCTTTTGCCCCTATTCGTGCGTGTGAGTGCACTCGTCTTATGCTCATTTTCTTCTTCTCCTCTTCCTTCTCTCCTCCGTTTTTTTTTTTTGCTTCTTCGGTTTCTGTTCCTCACCCGACGGAGCGACACCGCAGTGAGTGCCGCTCTGCACCAGTGAACGCGGGCGAGCAATGAAGTTACTGCGGCAGAGTCTCTGCCTGGGTGTGTGTTTATATATCTCTGTGCGTGCGTGTGCGTCCTCTTTACTTCGGCATCTGCCGACCCCGTTCACGCGTTAGGAACCCGTGACTCCGGCGCAGCTGCGGAGGTTGAGGGTGCGGTGGTGGAGGGCGCATTAGCACTACTCCCGCCATCCGTGCCACCTGCAGTACTGCTGCTGCTGGTCACCACCGCGCTAAGGCCCGCACGGGCAGGGTCCGACAGGTCCTTTTCGACCTCTGCAAGGTTTGGCTGGTAGTTCTCCTCCGTCTCCATCTTCCACTTGTTTTGGTTGAAGAAGTCGTACCCGCCGGCGGTGCGTCGCCGCATCCACTGCTGACGCACCTTGTGAAACCACCAGCCCCGCTCCAGCAGAACCCGTGCGGCGGCTACCTGCAGGAGGTCACGTGGCATGGAGTAGAATATGTATAGCAGCGTCTCGTCCGTGTACTTCTGCAGTAGCTTTAGCGTGGGCTGACGCGGCTTGGCCTGCCTGTAGCAGTCGGGGATGCGGTACTCCGCGGCGACAGGCACCTCAGGGCGCTCCAGCGCTAAGCTCGCCAGCGTTGGGTACAGCGGACGCTGCTGTGCTACGTTGATGCCAAGTGAGGTGAGGTCAAAGCCTCGGGTAAGGTAGAGAAAGGCTGCACTCTCTGGGTTCTCCGGATTCAGTGCGTGCTGAATGAGCCCGGGAAGGGCCAAGAGACCATATGGCCCCTCCAGCGCCACAGTCCCCCGCTGCTGTTGTTGTTGCGGCTGCGGCTGTTTCTGTTGCTGCGGTTGCGGTTGCGGTTGCGGTTGCGGTTGCGGTTGCGGTTGCGGTTGCGGTTGCGGGTGGTGAGCGACAGAGGCGGCGGTCGCCGGATAAGACTGCTGCTGTTGCTGCTGTTGGGCCATCATTTGTTGCTGTTGAGCCACGAATGCCGTTGTGGCAACCGGGTAGGCCCCGCGCATCGTTTGATACGGGTTCGGCGCAGCCGCCGCCGGGTACGCCATGTGAACTCCCGGTGGAAGCCCTGCACCGTAGCGTGCCGCCTGGTTGCTATTATTCATTCCACCTTCCCCGCTCTCCCCTTGGCGTGTCGCTCTCGCTGTTAAAACTCCGGGGACTTTATTTTACAGACCAAAGAGAAAACAAAAAGAAGAAGAACTAACTTTTTTTTTTCTTCTTTTTTGTTTTATATTCTTCTTCTTCTTGAATTTTTTTTTTTTCCCCTTGCGCGTGGATGTATTTTTAGTTGTGCGTCTTCTTGCGGTGCCTCCTACTGGGCGAAAACTGCGACTAACGTGCCCCTGCTGCGGGTAGGCGACGGCCCCGCAGGGACACACAGAGCGAAGGGAGAGAAGGGGCAGGCAACACAGATGCCGTGACAAGGACACACACACTGAGGGAGGGAAAAGGGAGCGGCCGGCGGGAGCAGCGGCAGCCACCATGGCGTGTAGTGTTTGCAGTCAGTTCCAAGAGGGTGGGAGAGAGGGCGGGCGCAAGGTCTCTTCCTGAGACACACACACACACACAAAGCTCCCCATACGCATGCAAGCAAGAAACAGTTGGGATGTGTGTGTGTGTGAAGGAAAAAAATAAAAAAAAAAACAAAAAAACAAAAAAAAGGAAAAAAGAAAGGTAACAATTTAATTAATTAATTAATTAAATAAT